GGCGCTAAAGTCCTTCACCTGCCTCTCGCCGTGCTCCTGCAGTGATGGAGTCATTGCGGCAGAACCGTTTGGCCACACACCACTGCCTCCTGACCACAAAAATGCAGCTAAAACAAGAGACGCTAATCAATTGACCTCAATTACAGCACAGTATCTCAGCACAGCGCCGTTATTTCTGCTCCTGTACACTCTCTCACGGGAAATCACGCATCATATTCGGCTCATAATAAGATGATGAAGGACACAGAGGCTTCCCGTTAAACAGAAGAGCACGAAATGCCTCCCGCAGGATCAGTTATGTGAAATCAGCACAAACATTTGTCTCATTCTGCACAAACTGCATCTTGTTCGGTGTCAACGTGTAATATTATCTGCTAGCAGGATGGCAGAACCACATGCATTATTAAAATACATATTGCTGAACATTATTTACAGGAAGAAACCATCTAGCAAGTGCTGACCCCAAACTTTTTATTTTTTATATTATTTATAATTTATTATAATTTATAATTATTTATAGTATTTATATTCTAAATATATTTAATTTGATATTATAATGTAATATATATGTGCAGATATAAATAATGTAAGTATATTATAAAATGTAATCAAATTATAACAAATTTACATTATTTATATATAATATATTCTTAATATTTTCTTAATTTAAAAAGTTACATCATAAGTAATAAGTAATACCAAAATTCATAATCATTAATATATATATATTTAGAGATATAAATAATATAAATGTAATCTAATATTTATATATTAATATTAAAATATATTTAGTGCATTTAGTAAATAATTTATTTATCAATATTTCATTGATCTAAAATAATTTGTAATAATTAATATTAATAAATGATCCACTATTGTAGTAATCATTATTGGCTTAATTGCTTATATTTATACATTTAATCAAATAATCACCAAATAAAAACAGGTATCAAAAATTAACAAATTATATTTACTTCTGTGTCTATGTTTAACATTGTCTGCTAGTTGGACAGCAGAGTCTCGTGTATTATTTAAATGTATATTATTTAAAATTATTTACAGGATAAAACCACCTAGCAACCACCCAGAACACCCTAGCAACTAAAAAAGAAAAAAAAAAAAAAGCTAAAACTAAAAAAACACTTTGCACCTTTGAAGCTCCAAAAATCGATTTTAATGTGCATTCTACATGCACAAGCATATAATTATTTAGTCACTCATAAATGCAAACGAAGCTAGCCGCTGCGGTTGATGAATCTGAAATGATGAGTCTCACTGATCACTGTTTCTGCACAGTCATTGGGTGATATGACTAGATATACACTCTCAGAAAAAAAGGTACAAAAGCTGTCACTGGGGCAGTACCTTTTCAAAAGGCACACTTTTGTACCTTTTAGGTACTAAGATGTACACTTTGGATACTGATATGAACCTTTAAGGTACCAACATGGACTCTTTAGGTACAAAGTTGTGCCTTTTGAAAAGGTACCACCCCAGTAACAACTTTTGTACCTTTTTTTTTGAGAGTGTACAGTAGAAGCGGAGCTTTATGATTGGTCTATTGGTGCTGTCACTCACCGTAGTGTGGAATGATGGCCCAGGCCATGGCTGAGGCGTAGATCCCGCCCACCATCCAGAACATGCAGAGCCAGCTCAGGTGTTCCCCGCGCTTCTCACGGGCCAGGAACTCAGCAAAATATGAGAACACGATGGGAACCGCACCGCCAATCCTGCAAAGGAAGAGTGTGGGAAAATCAAGATTTGTGTCCTAGAATATTATGACGTCTTGCATTTATTTTCATCCTATATATTTTAAAATATAACATTTGCATATAAGATTTGTTTGAAAAAATGTTTTTTGAAAGACATTTCTTCTGCTCACCAAGGCTGCATTTATTTGATTAAAAAACAGTAATACTGTGAAATATTATTACAATTTAAAATAGCTGTTTTCTATGTGAATATCTGTTCAAATGTCATTTATTTCTGTGATTAAAGCTGTATTTTCAGCATCATTACTCCAGTCTTCAGTGTCACATGATCTTCAGAAATCATTCTAATATGATGCTCAAGAAACATTTCTGATTATTATCAATGTTGAAAACAGTTGTGCTGCTTCATATTTTTTGTGGAAACGGTGATACTTTTTATTTTACAGGATTCACAGATGAACAGAAAGTTCAAAAGAACAGCATTTATTTGAAATAGAAACCTTTTGTAACGTTATAAATGTCTTTACTGGCACTTTAGATCCATTTAATTTGTCCTTGATGAATAAAAGTATTAATGTCTTTTCTTTTTTTAAAAAAGGCCCAAATGATTTGAACAGAAGTGTAGGTCTTAATTAAATCCGGTATCATTAATGTCAATCAATAGCATCATAAAACCTACTTAGAATTTACCATTTTACTTTTAACATTCATCTCTGCAGCATATTTCTATGGTTATTAGAGTGGAAACAGGTTTTGCATCTCACATTATATATACACATATCATACACTTATTATTAAAGTTTATATTTATAAATATACATCTTTCATTTATTTGAAATAGAATTTTTGTAACATTATGAACACTTTTGTAACAGTCGCATTTGATCAATTTAATTCATTTTTAAAGTATTTCAGTTAAATTCAGCACAGTTTCTTCCTTAGTAGTTCATCGAGCTATTTTTGAACACCGTCTGTTGCAGTCGGCGTGGCCTTTGACCCCGGCTGTGAGTGTCTGCTCGAGACGCTGATTCAGTCTGGAGTCACTGCACTGCTGCAAGGGCAGGAGACAACGCTGAAATTCAATTAGCAATAAAACCCTCCGCTGTTCCCGACTCGCTCTCGCTCTCTCTCCTCTTAAGTTATGGGTCTGTGCCAGGAGGTTAAAACAACTGTGACATTGCAGAAGAGCTGACTGAGAGTGGGCGTGTGTCACTCAGAGCTGGTGTCTCTCTGTGTGTGTGTGTGTGTGTGTGTGTGTGTGTGTGTGTGTGTGTGTGTGTGTGTGTTCAATTCTGTGTTTTATCATCGTTTTTAAGTCGGATGTGGGATATTCCTACCGTCCTGAAGTGGTCCAATACTCGGAAAATGATTCAAAGGAACAAAATGTCAGTGCTAGCATTTCTTTTGCACATGTACCATTATCTGAAAACATATCTGTTTACATAAAAATCTGCAGCAGATTTATTTATCATGCAATGTTAGAACTTAATGATGCATTTATTTGCTTAACAGTGAATGTTTATTATTACATGAGATCATATATCAATATCACATCGAAATCAAAGGCTGATTTGAAGTCTGGTCCAAATAATCGAGCTGAACACATGTGAACGCCTCCATAAAATTATAAATACCATCAGTTTAATGTTAAAAGTCACTATAAGTCAGTTATTTGTGTTTTGACTCCCTGAAGAGTGAAACACTGACGATTTCAAAACATTTGACTTCCCATTTATGAGTTCAAAAAGTGGGAATGCTGGGAAATGGGTAGTTTATTGCTATTCTTTTACAGGACAGAAAATGCATACATTTAAATGTATAACATTGTATGCATAATAATTAAATTCTTTAAAAATTCCATGCATAAATAAATGCATGCATAAATTTAAACTTCATATGACCAATGCAAATTGACTGCACCAGGATTCTTTAATTAACTGAGATAGTGAGTGTTCCTGAATGAAATCCTGAGCTTCTCATGGATAATTATTCAAGCATTTGGTAGGTTCATGTACATTCATCCCAACAGAATTTAAAGACAGCAAATGCTAAATTTGAATGGCTCTGCATTTTACTTTGCATTTTACTTTTTTGCCCTTAATGGTGCAGAAATGACATGCTTCACCTTTAAGGCGAGACACTACAGGAAAAGCTTTTTTTTCATACACTGGTCAATTTTGAGATGTTGGCCTGTTAACATTAATCTTCTTTCAGACTAGTGGAAAGAAAACATCAAAAATACACATTTAAGTCTTTATTTTATTGCACTTTATCTATATGCATCTGCAGATTTCAATGCATGGATTTTGAGCCTGGCTTTATTCCAGTGTTATTTTAGTATCATTGATATACTATCACAGGTTTTGTTAATATTTTGAAATTAGATTTTATTTTTAGATTTTCTGTTTTCACTTTAGTTTTAGTTAAAGTTTCAGTAATTTTGTTGTGTTTTTGTCTTTTTTTTTATATTCAGTTATGTCTCTTTAATTTTTATTGATTTTTATTTATTAGTTTTAGTTTATTTAGTTTTAGTTATTTTAGTACTTAATTTTAAACTAAATGAAAATGTGAAAGCTGAATTAAAATAAGTTTTTCTACATTTTATTTTATTTCAAATAACAAAAATGCCTTTTTATGGTTTTAGTTAACTATAATAATTCTGCTTTAGATGTATGCAATTTAGTGTGTATTTAATTAGATAATGCCTCGTTTGCATATTTAAACGTAACATTTCAGAAAACTTTTATCTTAATGTACCGTGATTAATCAGCTGGGTAAGTATGGTGATATCTATTACACTCTAAAAAAAATGCTGGGTTGTTTCAACCCAACTTTGGGTCAAATATGGACTAACCCAGCTGTTGGTTTAAATTTTTTAATTAAATTCTTAACCCAAAAGTTGGGTTAGTCCATATTAGACCCAAAGTTGGGTTGAAACAACCCAGCATTTTTTAGAGTGTAGTTAAGTTTTAACTCTATTCTCTTCTCTTAAGAACGCTCTGAATGACCTTTCCCGCACGTCATCAGTGATCGTTCCTCACAGAGCAGTTAATGAACCTGCAGTCATTAGCTAAGTAAAGGAAAGCTCATGAAAGCAGAAGACGGATGGACTATGAACTCACCCAAACCCCGAGAGAATCCTGCAGAAGAGGAAGGTGCCGTAGCCCTGAACGAAGGACGACAGGAAGGCGAAGAAGCCGTTGACTGACATACACACCAGCAGACACTGCCGTCGACCCACCTTATCTGACAGACCGCCCCAGAAGAACGCGCCCACCATCATTCCCAGATACACCACACTGCCTGCAGACACACGCCGAGGAAGACTGTGAGCTCACCATCAGAGGGAAACAAGAAACCACATTATACATCTCACACACACACACGTTTGTTTTTGTGAATTGTGGGGACATTCCATAAGCGCAATGGTTTTTATACTGTATAAAAATAGCACATCAAACTGTATGTGCTATTGCCCTACACCTAAACTAACCCCTTACAGGAAACTTTTTACTTTCTCAAAAAAACTCAACCTGTATGATTTATAAGCGTTTTGAAAAATGGGGACATGGAGTAATGCCCTCATAAGTCACCTTCTCCTTGTAATACCTGTCATACCCATGTCATTATACAAATGTGTGTCCTCATATGTCACAAAAACGCGTGTACACACACACACACACACACACACACACACACACACATGTGAAATGCTGACAACACGGGTGTGAAACAGCATATACAGAGAAAGTGTGTTTCTGGGTTACTGTAAAGCTAAAATTAAAACCCTAAAAAAAGCATTTCTATTGCTTGATTTGAAATAAACATTAACTGAAATAAAATACAATATGAAAAACTTTTTATTTCAGCAAGTTGCCAAGGCAACATTTCTCATTTTCATTCTGTTTAACTTGATGTACTAAAATAACTAAAACTAAAACTGAAATAAAGATGAATAAAAACCATATAGACACATATATATAAAAAACAAAACTAAAAAATGACACGCAATAAAATTACTAAAACTTTATCCAAAAGTAAAATGGAAACTGATTCACAATATTAATAAAACTTATAATAGTATCTCAATAATACTAAAATAACACTGGTATGTTTGTCTCCCATCCCACCATTCGCTTGATTTACATGCTTAACAACAAACAAATTTAAACTCTGATGTTTTAAAAGACATAAAAACATTAAAAGAAATATATAAAACAACTAATAAATTAATACATTTTTCAGAGCTCTGTTAAGTATCATCTTTTTCCAATGGTATTTTAGTATAATTTATATACTGCCTTAGTATTTATTAATATTAATTAGCTTTTATTTTTATACTTTTAGTATAAGTTTTACTAATTTTGTTGTGATTTTGTTAAATTGTTTAATCCTCATATTTATATTTTATTTATTCATTAATATGTGTTTGACTTTTTTTAAATTTAGCTTTAATTTGTTTTGGTTTTTTTTAGTACTTTAAATTAAACTTACCTATTTCAGTTAGTTTCCAAAAACATTCCTGATTTAAGTTTTTCCATCTTCTATTTGTATTTTATTTTATTTCAGCCTCGTCAAAATGTTGATTTTTAATAGTTTTAGTTAACAATAACAACACTGGCTTTGTCTCAGATGTTTCTCATGCAGTTCCTTTGGAGAAATAAAAACAGACGGTTTTTTTACAGTAAAAGCTCTCACATGAATGTTGTTGAGATCTCATGAGAGATTTTTCTCATCTCTCACAGCAAGTGTCCATCTAATGTGCATTTAATCTCATTGCTGATTAGGAGAAACAATTGTGGTTTCAAGAGATCTCATTTTCTGTGTAGTCATATGGTGACTGTAATTTATTGATCAGTATTGATTGTAATGGAAAGCAGAGCTGGACTCAGTGCAGCTGGTCAATAACGGCCTGTGACATAAATAACACACTGCTGTTATTAGTTTCATTGATCTGTTTCCATCATCCCAAACCACAGTCCACCGATAGTTCACCTAAAAATGTCAACACATTTTTTGAAGAACATTATAATCTAAATATCTATGAGATTTAATACTGGGGTCAAAATACACAAAAAAAAAAATTGAAATTAATTTTGCAACAATTTTTACTCAGAAACTGCTAATATGTTTAATAAATACTTACAAAAAACAGCAACACATTGAAATAAATATGAGATTTTAAGCAGAAAGACTGAAATAGTATAATAATACAATAATATTTGTTTTATTTACACTATAAAAAATAATTTTTGTGAAGTTGTAAATAAAAGAGAGATTATTTTTTGCAGCGTATCTTGTGTAAAGAAAGTCATACTGGTTTTGAACAACACGAGGGTGAGAAAGTGATGACTGAACTTTCATTTTCAGGTAAACTGTCCCTTTAAGAGAAAAGATAAAGATTATTGGCTAAAAAATGAAAACTCATTTGCTCATCATCAGTTATTATCTACAATCACGCTTATTTCGTTTAAATCCTAATGACCTACACAGGACTTTTAGTTACACAAGATGAACAATGCTACTGATTTATCTGCACTAATTCAGTCCAGAAAACACACACGCACACACTCAAATATGCACGCAATAAATCCAGTCCTGTCCGCTCACTCAAGATATGGCAATGAAAACCCTGATTTATGTGGCAGTATGTAAGTGAAGCCCATCTGATGTGCAGAAGCTCAACCAGTGGAAACCCCGAGCCTCATCTCTTTCTATCTCTCAGTGCATTCTGTGTTCTTCATGAGCCGTTCTCTCTGTGTGTGTGTGTGTTATCTTCCTGTGCAGACGTGCCGGGACGCCCCGCTCATCTATTACTCTCTGACAGCACTGAATACAGTGGCTCGCTAACGCCAGCACAGACCTATACACCACCATCAGCAAAAGAGCTGCTTTCAGAGACACACATCCACAGTATAAAAGTCAAGTGAAGTGTTTCGCACACACACACACACGCACACACACTGAGTGAGAGAGTCATGTACTGTAAAATACTCATGATAAGGTCAACATGTGTTTAATGGGTAAGATTCATAACTGTATATTAAACACTAAATATGGTCTGATTGGCTCAACCAATCAGAGTGCAGGACAGGACGAGTGTGGGCGGGCTGGACGTCCTGTATGTTTTAATTACAGAAGCTCTGGACAGATAAAGACTAATCAAGCATGATTACACACACACAGATATTTGTTTTTCAGATCTGATCTGTCAGTCGACGCTGTCATTTCTCAGGCGATGACTGAGATCTGATCTGTTTGTCCAGACAGTGTGGTCAGTATCTGCTGTATCTACACCTGCTGTGGTTTTGACGTGAGCGTCAGCATGATGCATGAGACTCTGAGCTCCTGTAGAAATACAGAGTGGAAAATGGGTTATTTTGCTCTGCTGATGTATATCATGACATCTCACCATGGTGTTGAACACATGACGTCACAAAGTTCACTATATGAGGAAAGATGATGGAATAAATACTTTGCAGACCTTCTGCAGACCTTTTAGACTTATAGACTATTAGAGACATAATAATTAAAAATCAGAAATACTTACGGTTTATTGTAATCAATGGTATTTTAACTAAAAATAAACATTAAAATCATTATATGTATATATATATATAAAATAAATATGGTATATAGTATACCAATCATTATTGGTATATAGGTTACATTAACTAATTTAAATAATACAAATAAATAATTACAAATGAAAACTAATGTTGTAATAAAATATATATGTGTCACAACTTGGTTGTTAAAAGCACACGAAGAAGAAGATGAAGATTCAAAAGTCTTTAATAATCCACACTGAAGAGAATCCAAAAAAGTAAAAACTGAAAAGTAAAACTAAATCAAACTAAACATAACCAAAACACTGATGAGACCAGACAAACTGAACCGAAACAAGAGGAACTTTAATACACAGAGCCAACCAGGTTAATGACGAACACCTGAACAGAACCACACCATCAACTCAGAAACCATGACAACTAAGGACTGGTGGAACTAGAACAAAAGAAAACAGAAACTGTATCTAAACAAATGAAAAGTCCATGAAAATGAAAGTAGATGAAACACTTGAATATCCGATACAATATACTTTTCATTAATTATTTAAATTAATACACCTAACAATAATAATTGGTCCTACATATTATTATTCTTATTATTGTAAGGTTTTATCATGTTTTTGAAAGAAGTCTCTTCTGCTCGCCAAGGCTGCATTTATTTGATCTAAAAATACAGTAAAATGTGAAATATTATTACTATTTAAAATAGCTGTTTTCTATGTGAATCTCTGTTAAAATGTAATTTATTTCTGTGATCAAAGCTGAATTTTCAGCATCATTACTCCAGTCTTCAGTGTCACATGATCCTTCAGAAATAATGCTGATTTGCTGCTCAAGAAACATTTATTATTATTATTCTATTATAACTGTTTTGTTGAAAACAGTTGTGCTGCTGCATATTTTTGTGGAAACCTTTTATTCAGGATTCTTTGATGAATAGAAGGTTAAAAAGAATAGTATTTATTTGAAATAGAAATCTTTTGTAGCAGTATAAATGTCTTTACTGTCACTTTTGATGAATTTAATGCATTCTTGCTGAATAAAAGTATTAATTTCTTGAATTTAATATATATATATATTGTGGCGAGTATCCTGAGTCCAGATTAGCGTCGCCCTGGAAACGCCGCTGCCACACTGATCACCGACGCACAACACCTGTGTGTGATGAGTGGCGCACCTGGAGCTCATTCCCGCTGGCCTTAAAAGCCAGGAGAGGAGACACCAGCGGGAGGGCACCCCGGAGCCCAGGCGACATTAATGCTTGTTTCTGATTGTTCACAGACTCCGAAGGCACCCTGGGAGAGGGATCTGCACCACGGCACTTCACCCCACGAGCACCACGCTGAGACGGGCACCGAGCACCATTCCTCAGAGCACGTGTGATCAGTGTGTGGGCAATAAATCACCCTCCGGGGCTCTTTCGATCAGTATTGGCTGCTACGGGCACTGCCCCACCCGCTGAGGCGCCCGGACAGTATGCGAAATCCCCAGGACATCCACAGCCTGGTAGAGGCGGTCGAGCTGGCGGCGGCAACGAACGCCCGTCTATAACCACTTGCAATACATTCAACACACACACACACAGAAGGATAGGGACAATGAGTGAGAGGGAGCCTTGTGGATCATGATATATCACAACACACACACACACACACACACACACACACACACACATCAGCTTGATCGGTACAACATCTGATGTTGCTGAGACTGCAGTATGAGAGAGAGAGAGAG